CTTGAGTTTTCATCTGTGATGATAGACGTCAAACCTAAACTTCTTGTTCCCTATCCGTGTCACTTGAGTTTTGTCAAGATTTGCGTAGTTTTGGGTACATCTGAAGCTAAGACCATTGCTGATGTTTTGGGGTTTTCTTATAATGTTTAATCACTACCTGTTGTTAATCATTCAATTCATATTTTTCTCATTTCCTGTTCATTCATCTCGGTTAATATTGTTTCTCCGGTTCAGATAACCAATTATTCTGCTCCGCAAATCTCAATAGATCATTAATTATAACGATGGAAGTAGTCGATACATACAATATGTACGACGACAAAGTTACCCATGGGAGTGAATGTCGTGGGGTGGTAATGATCTAAACAAGCGGTCACATATCTTATTAAAATATTGGGTATTTAACTCTGACACATTAATCATACTATAAGAGGTGAGTATAATGAGCTTTCTGATGTAAATTAGAAGAAATAAGAGTTAAGACAACGTGCTACTCGATCTCAATATCACTCACAACACTAAACACAAAATTAAAGCAAGCAAGTATTAGAAATAAGAATATTTCACTTTTATTAAGCACGCTAGTTATCAACTCATTCAAATATTTTTTTACGGTCGAAATAAATTGGAATTCCACGCAACTTTTCTTTGGGCTTGAATTCCCCGATATAATACAGTGTACGTATGAATAACTCTATACGTATGTATCGCTGGTCTTTGTCGACAGACTCGGTGGTCACTTGACCTCTAACATGTGAAGCCATCGTGATACTCGTACACATAAGTTATGTGACTGTGCATGTCACGAGTGTAATAACTTACCAATCGATTGACTGAAAACGTTGTGTCGGATTACCGGATATTGCGTTGTGCAGAGACATGCCCACGCGCGGGTTATGTGGTAGTGTCCTATCCTGTACTTTAGGCGATAGGTCGTGTCCTGACCTGTTTGTGTTTTGTGATTATTTAGTTGTCTGGTGTCTGACATATCCTTATAAAATCCTCATCCTGGAATAGTTCCCATGAGCATTAGTCGTTGACACGGTTACACAAACGTCATTAATCCAAAGTTCTAAGACACCTTCCTAAATGCACGATTGTCTTGCCATGTATATCTGTATAATGCATCCGACATCAAGACATTAATGTAATTAGCACACCTCGGTTTTCAGCAATCAATTATCATCCATCAATGCATTGAATCTCAATGAGCTATCAGTAGGAATTGTATAGAGAAAACAAATGATCTAAATGATATAAGATTTTGAGCGTTTTACCTAGGTACATGTACATGCATTATCGGAATTTGATTACACCACACTAGGCCGTAACGCGGCAGGTAAGTATAACATATATACACCCATTTATCAATCTACCAAATATAACAAGCTGGAATTAACGCAAAGACAAACGCCTTGCTATGGCAAATAAAATAGGAACATTGAATTCAACGACGATCTTTATTGGTGTATTAGCAACACAATCGTAGCCTAAAACAGGGACCGTCTTCATTTTTTATTTGTTATGAAGTTATGTTTTTAATTACGGAGGTAAGTATGACATCTTTGGCATAAAGTAGTACCGAAATAAATTTCTCAAGAATCATGCAATGTACATGTAACACTGCCTGTCTTCGGATGAAGCGTGCAAGTATTTGCCTTGTTGAGTAACAAATGCCATTTTGTATTTTATTTCTTTCCTTCGTTACAGGTTTTGAAATAACAACGCCGCCATGACCATACATATTATGACATCATCTTTAATATAACTACTCGTTAAAATGTTCTTGTTTCTGCTTTAGAAGTCATCATTGGTACACATATCAATGTCCAAAGTGTTCTGTAAAAAAACAAATAAAGGAAAATTGAGGAGGCGTCTTTGAATAGATTTATTGTGATGCGCATATAACATTTGGCTGCTTTAGAAACAACGTTTCTTAAACTAGTCTCCATGTAAAATTGTAAATTTAAAATTGCAGCTATATACTTCAGGCCACCTCGGGGACATGTTGTCCAATAGCAGAGTCAACGACCTTGAGCCGTAAAATAATCACTAAACATATGAAGAAAGTAATCATCTTTTTTATTTTTATTTAGTATGTTGATATACAGAAAGCCAAACGAGTAAATGTTCGCCAAATTCAAGGTAGAAGGCTAAATCAGACTTATATGGATGGTTTGCCATGTTGTTGGCATAATTCAACCCAACAATTAGAGTTATCACTGATTACGAAACAGCGTGTAAAACACAGGGGGAAAACAGAAATGCCGGTGATGGAGCATAAGGTTGTGTGGATAATGTGCTGTTTGCATTATTATAATGTTTTAGTGTTCACTTGATACGTTTCTGCTGATTATCCGGGCGACTGATCGAGTGAATTTCCATATTAAGTGAATTTCACGCAAACAAACATTACTAAACGTGTTGTTGATGAAATGAATGTCGCACCAACAAATACTGAAGAAAAAAATAATTTCAAATGAGTTATTTTCGACTCGGTGCGTTATCCATTTTTTTTTTTATATTTAAAAAAAAAATAAAAAATCAGATTAAAATTAATAACAAAAGTCTTCATAAAATGTTTCAACTTAATGCAATTATCTGTCGACATCATCAACCTTTTCAGTATATCAATGTGTCCTTTGTTCATAACCGACAACATTGTATTTATTTCACCCCAAACTACTCAAATAAAAAATTCCAGTACGATTATCTTATTTGTATATAATTTTGAGTATAATCAGTGTTGATGGGATCGTGAAATACAGCACAGAAAAAGTAAATATACACTTAAAAATTATGATAATTTTCCTGAGCTTGTATGAAAAAATATCAAGTTGGATTGATGTGATTAAAAAGGTTGTGTGGCAAAGTTCTTGTTTGATGAGTATTATAAGTGGTTATGGCTTCAAATGTTGTAATATCTTGGCATTTTCATTTGAAATCTGTCTAACGGTATACAACAGCACCGGCGTTACATCCCTGTGGCTGACAATAAGGATAGAGGTTGTGACGTATATGTCAACCTTGGCTAAAGTTTTGGTCTGGTATACCTTGATAACGTACGTAAATGACATTTCACTTAAGATAATATTGACAATTCTTATATGTCTACAGCTTCTGCTTCAAACAGAAATTATCCAGTTAAAACAAAACTATAATTCAACATCACCATTACAATGACTAAGAGAATTGATACACACATCGTAAAGAATCTTAAACGCTTAACGTCATCTCATCTTTAACATGATAACAAACATGAATATTGATTATGAAATCACTATGAATAATCAATGAAATACATGGAACCATGGATCAAGATTATTTTGATTCGCTTACGAAATCTGCGTCGCTTACGAAATCTGTCTCCTGCATTGACAAGTCCTATCATAAGCGATACTTGTGTGTAGTTTGTCTGCAATCATGCTTTAATCCTCATGCCTACAAGTAGTTTGCACAGCTTTACTGACTTAAAACAATATGATTGTGACTGCCAGTATAGTTTTTAATATGTTCTAGTGAGTTTATACTGCCAATCAACCTTTGCAATTTTGCTAAGATACACATTTTAATAAGCATGTTTGTAATTTTTATTACCTGTGTGCATCAAGATTTTTTTAAGAATAGCGTTTAAACATCCAATGAACCAAAGAAAAATGGGAATATTGTGTTTTGATATTTTTTCATGGATTCCTTTTTCATCAAGTTAAGGTCACACACGCACTCTTACAATCGCCCACACAAAGCGACACAGTTCTAGACCGAATTAACTTTGGTAACAGCAGTTCGCGAGTCATCACCGTGTCGAATGTTTTGTTGTTGTAGTGTGGGGCAGTGTGTGTTCCAAGCGAATTGGAGGCATGACATTTAAATACAAACATTAAAAAGTACTCTACAAAGACGGTAACAGAAAATAGAAGGACACAAGACAGAAACAATCTGTCAATTTGAGACAACGAGAACGATGGGCAATCATGTTATGCAAAACTCATTAACGTGGTAAACCTACCTTCCTCCCAAGCTCCAGTGTACAAAGTAATGTCGGGGACTATTGGTTTATTTTCGGCATTTACTACAAATTTTATAGAAACTAATTGGAACTTAAACAAGTAAATAGTTGATGTGATGAAACCCGTTAACAGCATTTCCTTTGGCCTTCAAGGTCACGCCGACCGCTTCATGTTAGAAGAGACAGTCGCCCTCTTTACAGGCAATATAGTGAACCTAATTACTGCTAATTATCGCGCGTGAACATACCACTTACATACAAACACCCACTGCCTTGCCTGTCAAACTCAACAGTTTCGAACAGACTAACAGTGGAGAATGATATACCTCCCGAGTAGCAAATTATCATGTATCGTCATACATTGATTTTCAAGGTAATTAAGTAAGGATGGACTGGGAGACAAACTAAAAAGTATTATGACCATGAAGTAGTTATCGTAGATCGAACGAGTACAGCAAGTATGAGAGTGTATACGCCGTCTACTGTTAATGCCTCGATAGCGTCCATAGTGACAGGTATCGCTGCTCTGCAATTGGTAAAGTATCTTATTAACGAACAGCATAGCCTTAGTCGGAGAGCCAACCACCGAGTGGTATTGGCCAACAGCGGCAATAGGTATGTGTTCATTCATGTATTCTCTTATAGACTGTAATGTATTAGAAGGGACAACATATACTGAGTGTACACTGGGTTCGCCCAGCCTCAGCAGCCCAAGGAATACTACTCTGCATTGTCAGCGTTTATGTCGATAACCTCTTCATATTTTGCGGTTCTAATGTAAATTGAAAATCGACAGTCTATAGATCACAAAAGGCCATCGATAGTCTGAAGTCATATCATTATCAACTTTATGTAAGAAAGAAGTATTTCATGTTTTTGATATATTTTGCTAAGAACGAACAACATTGGAAATTATCTTCATTTCTAAGTTGCTTATAGTGCGAGACGTTTCAAATGAATATTATTTGTGAAACATTTCATCGTTTATTAAATTTTACAAAATAAGGAGAAATACGTGCCGAAAAAAAAAGGACCAAATAAATAATTTCTGTGAAATTGAAATTCACCATGGGTGTTATAGGAAATAACAGCACAAATTCTAACACCACAGTTTTTATGGACTTTGGATTCAATTTACCATGGTGGCAACAATTTCTATTCATCACTGCGTTTTCGTTCCTTTTCATCGTCGCCGCGGCGGGAAATATCATCGTCATTTGGATTGTAATGGCACACAAGAGAATGCGGACAGTGACAAATTACTTCCTTGTGAACTTGGCTATTGCGGACACTTTGATTTCCGTACTGAACACTTTGTTCACGTTCACGTTCTGTCTGTACCAGGACTGGTGGTACGGGGACGCGTATTGTCGCTTTACACAGTTTATTAGTTTGTGTACAGTTACGGCCAGTGTTCTCACCTTCATGGCCATCGCAATCGACAGGTAAGTCATTTTATATAAAAAAATATACAATCCATCTTCAATTCCCTTTAAATCAATGAAACTCATCTTTCCATTCAACAGGTAAGTTATATCATTGAAAATCATCTTCAAAATCAACAGGTTATTCAGTCTATAGCAACGGAATAAACATCCTTGACCACTGAAATAGACAGGTCAGTTAACACTAAGAAAATACATTCTAGCCTACCGCAAAGATTGGCCTCTCCGGTGATGAAGGCACTGTATATTTAAGTTTACTCACTTTAAGTTTCATTTGAATTATTTTATAAGTACAATGAAGGCAAAATGAAGCGGTGTGATGATCTATTATTTACCAATTCAAATATAACATTTTATACGTTGTTATTCACAATATATTAATTCCTTTCAAAGAAAGGCAACAAAAGTTCATATACTAATGGAATAAGGTTCGAAACACATCCGACCATGAGGTGACTACATTTTAACGTGTCAGTAGTTAGAAATGGTTTATGTATTTGGCTGTATTTCGTTTGAGATTTAGGGTTATAACACGTGTTGCCACACACCATGTCCTCGAGAAACAATAAAATATATACAGTGGTATTGTATTACCTTAATATCAATTATGTGTAAACAATTATATACTGTATTTTTGTGAATGACATTAAATAACATAATCCGTAAGCTTGTATATAAAACCCATCTCTAAAGGGATACTAGACCTTACAAAAAGTGCCCTCAATGTTTTATTGTTAGGTTTGTCACTGTATATCAGAGATTGACATTTCTATGAACATGATCCGAGGCGTGTGCTATTAAATCAATTATTTTATTAATTTCGACAATTATTTGCATAAATCTATATAACAGGAGTCATGAATATATTTGCAAAGGTTTACAAATATTACTAATATCCCGCAATGTCATCAAACTATCGATATCGATACTCAATACTTACGCCGATAACCAGTCTTGATGTAGCTGAATACAAATGTAAGTAATAAGTGTGTTTGCCGTGTAGTCTACGGTTCAACTACTACCGTTACCATTTAACTAGTGCTATCATTTACCAACTACCTTTATAAACACGTGAAATATTTTTCTGACGCGTTTCATGAAGTGCGGAAATAAATGCAAATTACTGAAAGTGCCTTGATTTCGAGAACTAGCAATTTTAACCAACCAGGCAAGAACATTATCGGATCATCTCGAAAGGCAGGATGGTAAACCGAGGTGTGTTCTGTTTAAAAACAAATACATTTAACAAGTCCTTACCTGCCATTAATTTACCCAGTTCCTTTGTGTTGTGTGTGTCCATAAAGCAATATTCAAGATAGAAAAACAGTGCTTGGTTTTATCTTTTCACATCAACCGTGTAAGTAATCTCACAGAGTTTTAACATTTTCCCTGTACTGTTTTAGATAACTCGGACGATAACACAGGAAATATTTTCGATAGGATTTATCTTGTTGTAATTCAAACGTCTTTTCCTCCAGCCGCGAGGCCATTCAAACGATGATGGGCTCTAGAGAGGCGTGGTTATAATCAGATCATTCCTTTTCATTCCGAAGCTGCTCCCTTTTCTTGTTTTTCTCATTCGCACATTTTTACATTTAAAAAATTTCGGAAGGCGCCTCAATCAATATTAGCGTACGATGTTGAATAAAAATACTGTTGGCGAAATCTACCTTAATTTACATGATAAAATCCTGTCGAGAACTATTTCTAATTAAGTTTAATCAATAAGAGGCATGCATGCTGAGCTTCTCTCTATTTCTATACAGGTGTTCGCTGCACTTTGATTAGTCAGCTTTCCAAACCAGAACGTTATCAAATTATTGCGCTGGAATTAACGGGAAATTCCATTTATTGAATTGCATGTATTTTTTAATCTTTGCCGAGAGAAAATTCAATCTGTGTAGTGTGATTTGTCGGAAGGTAACATAGCCGATTTAATCGACAATTCCTGTCTCGGTCGTTTGGCCAAGTTTGTTAATGTACTCCCGTTGACCCGTTCGGAGTACACTTGTTATTTTCCATGCTGAACCTGACCCCGCACTGTGCGACATGTTAGGGTCGATTGAACACACGATACGCACCGAAAACCGTTCGCCTAAGAAGGTTCGTCTCAAATTCATAAGCTTATTGAAAACAACTGAAATGGTTCCAGTTTTAAGCTGAATAGGTACAAAATAAATGTAGAAATCACTGTTGCATTGAAGGAAAATAAATCTTAAAAGTAAACATGCAACTGATGAAGCAAATAGGATAAAACTTGATGTTGTATTGTACTTGACTCATGAGTACAACAATATATACATAATCTACGTATTAGGATAGTTAGGTTATACAGCAATACAGTTATAATGTAACCTCTCGTCACTGTATCGTGTAAACAAATTACATAACAATACAGTTATAATGTAACCTCTCGTCAATGTATCGTGTAAACAAATTACATAACAATACAATGATACTATCCCTTCTCATCAATGAATTGTGTTACTTAAATTACATTACAATTCATTTCTTATCAATCCTTAATAGACAGATGTCATGTTACCAAGTTTCATTATAATGCTATTAACATTAATGCACCCCACACATCGGTGAGAGAAGGGTAAATGGGTTTTTTGTCGCTAGGTTTCATATCTTTGCCATTAACATATATCCTTCTCTCAGCAATGCGCGTTATCGTTACAATGTAACCCCTTATGGACAATAAATTACAGTATTGAGTACATGTACTTTCATTTTATTTAGCCTGGTTTCAGTGAGATGCATCAATGTACAATGCCACGCTTCCTCATGTGGATATGGTTTCATAATGACGTCATGATGTTGTCACTGTTTGGCATTTCCTTCTTATATTCTATAAAAACCTAATCAGCTTCTCAGTCAGTCCTAAAATTGGTTGTTATCATGTAATATTCCACGAATGCAAAAGTCATCTCACACTTTACAGTGAATGGACAACAGTGAAGTATATCTTGCCCACATATCGTTAAGTAACCTTTATATTCTCCATATGAATAAAAACTAACAATGAATGAAGGATTGAGTTGGATTGTTGGTCTTATTATCAGTATCGCCTCTGTGATGGTGTCAGTGCGTCTGAACACACTTCCCCCCTCGACCTACTACTGATCACCTCCTTTGACGATTTGTCTGTATCTTTGCTCCTACGTTATCAGCACACAATTACATTCAATAGTTGATAGCTCTTGTTTTAACAGAGGGGACAGCTATATGTGAACAGTCTCAGCTGGTGTGTGACGCAAAAGTGATATCATGGAAGTGATTTCCTTATTACGAACAGACGAGACTTCGTTCTAAATGTATTACACCCGACAGCAAAATATGATTCAAATGGCATTGCCTTAGATAAAGATCAACCTAGACGTACGTTTAAAAACTAATTAAGTAGTGTTTTTAAAGTTTCTTCAAATGACGGAAATGTCCCTTTTTTAACATGAGAGTAGATCCACCTCAACGTTACGTCACAGTCAGGGATGTTAGTTACTATATCTGACTCTAATAGAACCGTGCGAAGTCGAGGTTTAGAGCTTGCATAGTTATGGTCTATTATATACATGTATAATGTACAATACTTAGCTTTTTACTTTATTTAGCTTTGTACAACTCATTGGGATTTTTCACTCGGATATCAAAACAAATTGTAATATTTATCCAATACATCTATACTTCTGAAATATTACCCAGATATTAATGGTGCATGTCTTTTGTGGTCTCAACATGCATATAAGATAACTTTGCGATGTAATGATTGAGTCTGACAAACGACAGGTACGTGTGAACAATTTCAATGTGTACGTCACATAAAATCAATTATTTCCTATCCCAACATATTTATATGGCGAATGCTTTGCCTGGCAGAAAACAGATCCTATTCCCTAGGAACTCGGAAACTACATGCTAATATTGGAACAAAGCGACTAGGATTAAATACTGACATAGTAGGAGACAAATCCGATTTGGTCGTACATTTCAAGACACACAGTAACAAGGACCTGGCCGAATAATTTCCACGGTCGATAACCTAACAGAATGCTTTATATCTTGCCCAGTCGTCTGTCCAAATCCTAAACACTAATGTGTTATAGCATGTAGATGTTTCTTTGCTGATAACATATGATGTAATTGTGAGTTTTATTGAAAGAACCCTCCCCTGCTGTGTTTCATGGTTTACTTGATCAGTTGCTTATAAAAACTGAATTGCTACTGTGTTTGTCGATATTTCATGACTTCAGTAGACCCTTGTTCAGGATTCCGCGAAATGAGATTTCACTCTTTGTCTGTAAAAGAAAATGTCTTTTTTATTTCAGTTTTGACCCTCTCAATTTCAAAAAATGTGAGTGAATTTTTAAAATGGATTAATTTCAAATATAAAATAAAAGCCATTCATTTGTCATGCTGATAATATGCATTGAATTGCGCACAGTATCGCTGATTTAATGCTATGAGAAATCTAACATACCTTTTTGAAGTTCAATTGTATTTGTGAAAATATAGTTCTGTATCTTCCGACATCCCTTACATATACAAAATACGATTCATACCAATCCAAGACCAATATATGATATTTAAAACAAAATCAAGAAAGACACCCGTCATAGGAATGAAAACTCACAAACATTGACGTAAATAACTAAACTAATTATAATATTGACAAACTGTAAATTGAACTAATCAAAAATGTGTGCATCTAATATTGCAATGATTTGGAAAGTTATCAAATGCTAAATATTACTTATTATAAATATATACTGTGCAACGAGGCGTTGAGTCTGCCACCCACAATCGACGCTTACTGCCACATGTGCTTCAGTTTTTATGACATTTTAAGTTATTTTGCACCGATGGTGAATATCACCTTACACAAAGCTTCCTCCCTGTATCTGGTATATCAGTACACGCCAGTATGTCGGCATCTTACCCCGTCCTTACCACGCGGTGTTTAATATAGATAACTAATTATTCTTTATAATGTAAACATG